CTGTACTTAATTAGTTGAATCCTGTGTGACCACTGCCCGTGATCCCACTTGGACTTGTCCAACCTTTAATTCCCAAGTGACCCACTTCCATATAGCATTTAATCCATCAAACAGACCACGCCAAACATGGCTCGTGAACTTGCACAGGTTAAAATGTCAGTGTTGTTGATTGTGTATACTTATTTCACTGTTACATTTTCGTAGTTACTTACTCTTTGGTGATGAAACCTTAACAAATTGTGTGTGAAGATTATTTTTTAAATAAATATTGCTTTACTCGCCATAAACTGGTTGCATCTACCTGAATTGCGGGCCACATTAAATAGAATTTCTCGGTCATTCCACTGGCTGCACAAACACATGGTTCTCGGACACCTGCAGTTTTGTTAAGTCTACAAATGGGGCATTGATTAATGCAAGGGTGAATGCCCCAAAATAAAGTTTTGAGAAAATGGGGTTTAAAGTTTGCAGATATTAATAATTCATAACCTCCAAAAAAATTCATCAATTCTGTTCAGTGAGGTCTCCTTTTAAAGGCAATTTAATGCAGACTATGATCCTTGTAATAAATGAAGTGTGATGTATGATTTTGGGACACATTGATGTCAAATAATGAAATGGTGTGAAATTAGCATTTATGGAAATAATGAAGTTCTGTACACAAAACAATACATTTATATTGTTATAAAGTAAAAAAACAAATATAATAAATAATGGTAACACTTTAGATGATTATGCTCCGCTAAAGAATGTGGTAGCAGGGAGGTTTCTCATTGGTCGGCAAGCTCCTTCCCGACATGCTGATTAGCTCTTGAGTAAGGCAGTCTGTGATTGGTCGCCCGACCACTGGCTAGTTCGACTTTGCTTTACTTTCGCCCGACACTAAAATTACCACAGGCAGCACAATGACGCTGGGAGTTTTACACCATGTGATTCAATGGGATTTTGCCAGTAAATCAAAGGCGAACTCGTCATAGCATCTGGTTTCATAGTAGAATGAAACTTTCTGAAATGAATGGTACAAAAATCGCATTTTCGCTTGGGTGGCGAGTTCACCCTTGCATTAATCAATGCCTCAAATGATCTTTTAATAACCCCTACAATAACCATGCACCTTCTCAAACTCTGGGGAAGTCGACTTGTCTCCACGAGGGGCCAGTCTCTCGGCCAATTGCCTGCTTGTCCAGTTTCTCATTTACTCTTATTTAATATGTGGCAGATAAAAAAAGAAACTACAGCTAGACCCCGACTTACGACGGGGTTAGGGACCCAAATCCAGGTCGTAAGTCTGACAGATAAAAAAAAAAAAAAATTTTTTAATAAAAAATCTACAATGAAATACAGTACAGTGGCCCCTCCATTAACGAACTCAATCCGTTCCAGAAGGTCGTTCGTTAACCGAAATGTTCGTTAACCGAAACCATTTTTTCAATGGGTTTTTGGGTAATTGGTTCCAGCTCAGCGAAAATTTCCTAACTTCAACAAAAATGGTGGAAAAATTTACTTACTTTGAGGTGTGTATGTAGAAGGCTCCTGGATGATGGTGATGTGCATTTGAAGTGGGAGGTGCAGGAGGAGAAGGGAGAAGAGAAGGAAGTGGAGGTGGAGGAGAAGCATTTTACTGCTTCTTGGAAGGCGAGTCACCTTCCATGAAAATGTCAGGAACCTCTGGACTGACAGATTCTCCACCATGAACATCCTTTCTCCTTCTTGAAGTGGAAGGCTGAGGGCTAGCATCTTGTTCCCTCTGCCTTTTACTGAAGAAAGTGTCAATTGTGGTCTGTGGGGCATCTGTCCTCCTCACCATTAACTTATGTTTAAAGGAGACCACCGAGTCCTCAACATGACACAAAGTTAGTTCATTTTTTTCCACTTCTGGGTGCTTTGAAGACAGTTCTCTGAACTTCTCCCAGTGGTAAATCAAATCTTTCAACTGTTTAGCTGACATATGGTCATCACTTTCAATTTCCTCCTCACCACTGTCAGCCTCTACCCGTAACATCTCGTCCAGTTCCTTCAAGTCATCAGGAGTAAGTTCCTCCTCATGAGACATCACAAGCTCTTCCACATCCTTCTCCTCCACTTCAAGGCCCAATGACTGACCAATGGACACAATCTCCTGGTCCAACGCTGTCATCCTCAAATCCCTCAAAATCATGGACTACTGATGGCCACAGTGCTTTCCATGAAGAATTGAGGGATCTAGTGGAGACTTCTTGCCATGATGACACAATCAATTTTACAGCCTCCAGGACGTTGAATTGTGTCTTCCAGAACTGTTTCAGTGTTAGTTCAGGATCAGCGGAAGTTGCCTGATGACACCTCCTAAACATTTTCTTCATGTACAACTTCTTGAAGTTGCTGATTACATTCTGGTCCATTGGCTGTATGAGTGATGTAGTGTTTGGAGGCAAAAACAACACTTTCACAAAGTCAAATTGATACTCCAATTTTCTGGCAAGGTCAGGGTCATGACCAGGAGCATTATCCATGAGGAGAAGAGCCTTTAAAGGAAGTTTATTGGTGGTTAGGTAGCTCTTGACAGAGGGGCAAAACAGATCAACAGCCCATTCATTAAAGAGCTGTCTTGTCACCCATGCCTTACGGTTGGACTTCCAATAAACTCCAAGCATTGTTCTTACCACTTTCTGTTGCTTGAACACCCTGGGGTTTTCAGAGTGGTAGACAAGCATAGGCTTCAGTCGGAAATCCCCTGAAGCATTGGCACCAAGCAGTAGAGTGAGATGGTCTTTCATGGGTTTATGCCCAGGTAAAGAGGCTTCATCTTTGGTGATGAATGTTCTTTTGGGCATCTTTTTCCAGAACAGCCCAGTTTTGTCCACATTGAACACTTGCTGTGGAAGATAATTTTCTTCCATCAGTTTTTTAAATTCAACTAAAAACTTTGCTGCCCCTTCTTTATCAGCACTAGCAGCTTCACCATGCCTAACAACACTTAAAATGTCACTTCTTTTCTTAAATTTTTCAAACCAGCCTTTGCTAGCCTGAAAATCTTAAAATTCTGTTCCTGAAGAACCAGGTTGATCTGCCTTTAAATGTTCATAAATCTCCCTGGCTCTTTCACAAATGAAATCACCAGAAACTGAATCACCTTTCATCTGTTTTTCCCTAATCCAGATAAGTAACCTCTCAGTTTCTACGATTAGGGATCTACTTTTAAACACTTGTAGATTTGTCTCTCACGTTCACTTCCTTAAATTTGTCTTTGTGCAAGAATTGTCGACACAGTTGATGCCGACATGCCATATTCTTTGCATAGCGCATTTGATTTAATACCTTGTTCGTGTTTTTTTATTATTTCCTGCTTTATTTGGATTGAAATCGCTTTTCTTGATCTCTTAGGCCCCATGCTGGATTCAAACAATGGCAACACGTATTTTTCAAAGTTAAACTAGCTGTAAATAAAGAATATTTTCTTTAAAATAACACTGCACTGCACTATATATTGTCAATATGTAAAATAATTTTCAAAATGACCAATAATTTGCTTGGAAACACAGAAAAAAAGCGTTTAGTTGAAGAGTCTCGAGCAAGATGTTACCTCCAGTGAAAACAGAGAGACTGACGCCTGTTTGCTGTGTTAAGAGGCTGGATGCCGAGCATTAAACTAGTCACTTTACCTTCAATTTTGCTCAATAATTGTTAAAACGACTAAAAAATTGAATATTAAACTTTTAAAATTATTGAATAGTATAAACTTCTTGATATTTACTAAAATAGTAAGGAATTTAAGCCCTAGAACCGATTAATGTATTGGCGGACTGATAATAAAGCTGGTTGCCCGGTCAGTGCAAGCGAAAACATGTTGAGGTCGGTTCGTAAGAAGTTCGTTAAGCGAAATTTTTTTTTGTTAACCGAATTGAAGATCCTTATGGAAGGCAGTTCGTTAATCGAAATTACGTTAACCGAGGTGTTCGTTAAACGAGGGGTCACTGTACAGTAAAAGTAATAAACAATGAGGAATGGATACAGTACAGTGAAAGTAATAAATAATGAGGAATGGATACAGTGTGACTGAGCACCTACCTTTAATGTAGTCAGCTGAATGCACATGGGGCCCCCATAATTTTCTAATTATACATGGAGACTACATTAACTGGAAACGTTTCGGTATAGAAAATGCGTGCGTCATTTGTAAAAAAAATGGTCACAACTGCGGCGGCCGTAAGTCCCGACGGTCGTAAGTCGAAGCAGTCATAAGTCGGGGTCTAGCTGTATTCTTAAATTTATAATTCATATGTACAATAAAGGTGTCGAGTTAAAGAGTAAATGTGGAATTTTAAAGTTAACAGTTTGGATGTGTGGATGTCAGTTGTGCATGGGGGTGTGTGTGAATGTAGTGTCAACTGATATCTTTTGTGCCGTGTAAACAAAACAGCTGGAATTTAGGGTGATGCAATGTTTCATCTGGGTTGTCGTTGCCTTTTCCCCTTTAGAGAACATGGCTCCAATTGTAGAATGGAAATAAATGTATTACTTCAGCTAAGCATTACATGCTGTTTACTTTTTCAAATCTTGTGTAGTTTCATGTAAGTACTGTTATAAAATTATAACTGTACTTCATGAATTTCACATTTATTACTGGTTTATAATAATTGTATACCCCAAAAAAATTTTATTGAAGATGTTTTCTGGCATTTTAAGGTGAGGGATGTTTTCAGGAATGGAACCCTTTCATAAACCTGGGAATGCTTGTAATATTTTTAATCCTTCCTATTTGGTGAACCTTATAAATGTATTGGTAATTGTTCATATACCGTTTAGCAAGTATCTTGCCCATTTTATAGTTTAAATTTAATTTATAGTACAGGTATATGCTTTTGACATTATAACTTGTAGGTGAATCTCGTGGTGCCCATTCTTTGCCTCCTCTGAAGTATGATTATGATGCACTGGAGCCTCATATCTCAGCTATGATAATGAAGATTCATCACACTAAGCACCACCAGGGCTACATCAACAACCTCAAGGCTTGTACCGAGAAAGTAAGTAACTCGGAATTTATTTATACAATTACAATTGAAATATCTAGGGGAAGGAGAGAAAGCTATACCCAGTACTTTGTATTTGTAGTTCTATAGAAGGCATTTGACAGGTTACCACATAGGTTAATGCTATGGACTATGAGAAAGTTTGGGTTAGAGGAGTGTCTTGTTCTAGTGGTTATAGGGGTGAGAGGACACGAGAACTTCTGAGTAAATAGTGAGGGAAGTGAAGAATTGGACTTGAAAGTAGTGTTCCATCAAGGGTCTTACTGGAGTCCCTTTCTGTTTAGATTTCATCATACTAGAGGTACTATTGTGAAATTTTAGGACTGGTCATCCCCAGGATTTTTATGCTGGTGACTTCGTGAGGGAGAGCATGGTTAAAACAAATTCAGCAATGATTAGTGGTGATTGAATGACTTGGTGGTAAATGGCCATGTGATGTTTGGCTGTAATTCAATAATGTTCAGTGTGTTGAGGGTGGGCATGCAAGAGTTGAAGTGATTTAATGGAAGACTGTAGGATGTAAGGTTAGGTTAAAGAAGATTGGTAAGTACTGTACATCCTCCAGTGTGTGTGTGTGAGACCATATCCTGCCTCGAATTCATGCACAAATCAACTTAAACTAATTGTCTCCTTTAAATCGTTGGGAAATTTGTCAATTTTTTTTATTTCTGTGGCAACACTGGCATTATCAAGGACTCACTGAATAACGGGCTTTGAGTGGAATTCCTTGTACACCGTCTACCAAACTCATTCTCTAACCTGTCTTCTGTATCACACATTGGAGTAGTGTCCTCTGTAAGCAGCAGTAAACTGGCCATTTGCATCCCATATCATTATTTACAAACTTGTCACCCTTCTCTAGGACTTGGGCCTTCTCCTCTTACTACTCCACCCATAAAGCTATTAACTCGCCTTTCTGACATTTCACATCCCAGACGTAATCCTCATTCTGCTGGGAATTTTTCTCTACCCAAGAAACTCTGAACTGCATTCAGTAATTTACCGTTTAAACACCCAATTCATTTTCACTATTTCCCACAAACTGCTCAATTTTATCTAATGGATCCATGACTTCCAAACAAATTCTTCCTCTTAAGATGCTTTTTAAATATTCAGTTTAATGGACAACCTTGATCCACATTCTCATTGAGATCTTGGTGCTCTTCTCCAATACTGTACTGTAATCTTGTTGCTACTTTTCTCTAAACTTCACTATGCTTTTTTCCTCCATTATACTAATCAAATTAATACCCTTATTTTTGTATTTACCCATATTCAAAATATAGCTTGTAATTTATACTTTATTTATCCTACAGCTTATAGAGGCAGAGGAAGCCACTGATGTGGCGGCTATGAATGCACTACTTCCAGCTATCAAATTCAATGGTGGCGGGCATCTCAATCACACCATCTTTTGGACTAACATGGCCCCAAATGCTGGTGGTGATCCTTCTGGTGCGATCGCTGATGCCATCAATGAGGAGTTCGGCTCATTTCAGGCATTTAAGGTTGGTAGTCATGGGCAATTACCGTAACTATGGGGGGGGGGGCTATTAAAAGTGCAAAGAAAGCAACACTGATTATGAAGGTTTGTCATTATTTTAATTTATATTTTTGTGTACATACCCTGTAGAGGTGGGATATAAGGAGTGAACATAGGGGTAGGGTATAAGGAGTCATCGTTAAGAAGTTCGTAATATGACTTGTGTTATTAGACAATCGTCGAAGTTTTTGGGATGCCTGAGATATACCTGTTAGTTACATTGTGTAACTTATATTTTATAGGTACAGTACAGTAGATGTTCATCTGTACTGCCAACCACATGCTACTGCTGTGAGGTTTCAAAAGATGGACGAATTTCTTTACTGCATTGTACACTATTCTGTTCATGGATAATGATGTAGAGTTTCGAGTCAAGTGTTTTGGGCCGGGTTTACGGGTATGATTTTCAAACACGTTAAATGCGGGTAGGTAAAATGTCCAGGCGAGTAGTTGTTCTCTGCATATCATAGTGAACATAACAAGAGCTTTTCCTTCAGTTAATAGGCATGTAGAACAGTTTTTATAACAAATTTCTGCTTTGTTTAGATTATTGTAGTTGATACTGTGAAGATAATTCCAGATAGAATACCATGAAGCACAAGGTAAGGTTTTTAAGTCTTAGATAGTGAACTTTAATGTGGTTGTATTTGTTGCAGGACAAGTTTTCAGCAGCCAGTGTGGGAGTGAAAGGCTCTGGTTGGGGTTGGCTTGGCTATTGCCCCAAGAATAACAAGCTGGCTGTAGCTACCTGCCAAAACCAAGACCCTCTTCAGGTTACTCATGGTAATGTCTTTGTTGTATTGCATCTTAATGGTATTGATTTCTAAACATTAAACTTACAGAATGGCTGTTCACTGATGTGGGAGTGAGTAGGTGAATTGGGCGAGATCTTGATGGAAAAATTTATTTAACTACAGAAAATGGATTAGCAAAACTGGTGAAAGTAAAACTTAACTTAAATAATAATTAAAAAAAGGGAGGCTTTTATGTGCAGTAATGATATCCCTTAGTATTAAAAGAAATGAAACGAAAAAGAATAGTAAAAATGGAAATAATGTTACAGGTTGAATTTAAGTTGCAGTTATAAAGTAAAAAATTTTCAATGGGAGAACTAGTTTTTACATGGCTATGAAGTAGTTCTGTCACATTGCAATAAAGTTTGTCACGGTCTGTTAATAGGTTTCTGATTTGTGTTCTAACTGGTTTTCTTGTAGAACATTATTTTTAAATTTAGGGGAAATATTTATATAATTATACCATAGCTACTGGTCATAAAGTGACCTGTGGAAATTTTTCTTGAACTCCCTATAGTGAGCCAACCATCACCGAGGGTCTTTTTATACTCCAGCAGTAGGTTACAGTTGTCTGAAAAGTTCAGCATTATTGCAGTTTGATTCCTTGATCATTGAATTAGTATCAAAAAACATTTAATTTTCGAAAGGTAGCTAGGCTTTGAGTTTGTGACTCACGCTTGTTTCTCGTCTCAAACCACATGTACAATTGGGGAACATTTCCACGTGTTAGTCACCTGCTCTCCATGAACTGTGAATCTGCGCCAGCAAGCGGAGGTTAATTTTTTCCCGTACCAGTGTGGATGGGGCGATAGGGCCGAGGCTACATAATAACTGTGCCTCGCTCTGGTAAAGGACTGGGCCATCATCATTGTGTAGTGTGACTAAATAAGTCCCCTTTTCAGTGGAATAATGCTTTTAATAGATTATAGATTCCAAAATCTCAAGAATTTTTGCTTAAATTTTCTCCTATTTCAGGTATGATTCCCTTGCTTGGTCTTGACGTTTGGGAGCATGCTTATTATCTCCAGTACAAGAATCTTCGTGCTGATTATGTAAAGGCGTTCTTTAATGTCATTAATTGGTCTAATGTCAATGAACGCTTGGAGACTGCCCGCAAGTCTGCTGGACACTGACTTTTCTACACCACATCAGCAAAGCCTTCATGTACTACAGTAGCTTCCCATTTGTAATGTTGCAGGGTCCAACCAATTATCAGTTTGCAAGCAAGCAATCCTTGATGTGGTTTAGATAATAAGCCAGATAAACATAGTTTGTATACAGGAATACTGGTCAAACTACAGTGAAAGGAAACATTTATTTTCCAATATCTATACCTTAAGATTCACCAACAGTGATGAAACTTGCATGTTTTGGTGATATAAGAAATTTATTTTCCAATGTTAGGGGCATAACTACATTAAAATGATGTCCAAGATGGTCTTTATAATTGTCACTTTTGATATAGGGAATCCATGCTATTCAAAATTTAACCTTTGACTTACAGTATGTGTTAAGTCTTGTGCCCAAAGTAGTGTAAAATATGTACAGTAGTTATAACCACAAACCAAAATCCTTGGAAGCAAAGGGTTTTTGGCATTCAGGATGAAGAATGTACTGCACAGGCTTATCTCCAAGAAAGAAACTCCTGTAATAGATCTTATTGTAGGTCTGCCCCTACAGTTTTACTTTAAAGCACTCAAACATATTGGGACAATATATTGTACTGTACTGACATGCTTAATAAAACTATATATAACTTTAGAATTTTATTGGATTTTGTACTGAACAGAATATACTTTTTAAAATATCCTTAAAAGTGAGGTGTTGTAAAGAAAATGACGTTGTAGACTGTAACCCCCACTTAAGCTTTGGATCAAAGAATTGTTCTATTTGTGACAAAGGTTCAAAACTGTCCCATTTAAAAATACCCATACCGTAGATGACATATATGGATACTATAAACAATCGATTTTGCATCTATAAAGCCAATAACGGTTTATAGTAAAAATAATAAAATTCATTTGGGATAGAAATTATCAACTATGGATGGCCATAACTGTTGAATTTGTTCATCACCAATTGGTAAAGTGCCATTTCAAATGCTATACTTTACAGGTATGTAAAAATTTGGCTTTTAAGTCGAAATAACTTGCTTCAGGCAATAAATCTACTGTGGTACTGTTCTATTGTTTACCCATGGAAGAATAATGAAGCCCTATTGATAAAGGAGTGTAATCAACACTAATTTTTAAAGTTAATAGAAAAAGATGAAGTGATAAGATTGCATTGGCAAATCATGGAATTAAGTGAAGTAAGATGGACAGGTTCAAATGGCATTAGTAGTAGAAGATTTTTAAATACTATATTTAGGCAGAAAAACAATGAAGGTTTGTATTATGTTTTGTAAACCAGGAGCTGAACAGTAGTGTAAAGGGGCATTGGGTAGTGTCAGATAATTTTTGTTAGTGCTGATTAATGCTAATCCCATGGACAGTATAACACAGGTGTATGCATTGACTAATGATGAAATTCTTAATGAAGGTTTAAAGAACACGAGACCATGAAGTTTAATGAATGGGTGATTTTAATGCAAATGTTGAAAGGGAAAGAAGCAACCGAAGTAGGATCACATGGGTAATGGAAATAAAAGGAGTATTATGAATTGACTAGTGTATTAAACATGATATATGATGTATGTAAAACAAATGAGTAGGAACGGATCAATTGCTTGACTACACTGTATACTTCGAAGGAGACCTTTCAAGTGATATAAGAAAAATAAATTCTATACGTATACAGTATATATTTGTATTGCAGTACTGTATTACCTAAAAAGCCAAAAGCCTGAAGAGTACACCCAATTTAGAACAATTAACAAGTAATGCTTGCAAAGTTTTATTAAGCACTATTCTGTATAGAATAAAATTCAGAAGATGAGTTATCTGAAGATCAAAATGGATTTAGGAAGGGAACAGGAAGAGAAGCTATTGTGTATTTGGTCTGAGAACTTGAGTGAAAGGGTTTTAAGAGGTCCAAAGAAATTTGTATATCCGCATTGTTACTTTTACTTTTATCCTCTTCACCACTGATCGGCTCGTTAGCTTGGGCGGGCGATCCCGTCTCTCTTATGCACTGTTAGCAAGTATTGGGCATGCAGTGGCTCCTGAATGTATCTGAACCTGCTCCAGTGTTGGTCAAGTCTGGTCTTGAAACAGCTCACACTTGGTGCCCTCACAATACACACTGGCGGGTTGTTCCAAGAGTTCACAATTCTCCCTCCGAAAAAGCTTTCCCTCACAGTTTTCTGGACTTGGGGCTTCTTCAACTTTGAGCTATGACCTCTTGTGAGGCGGGTGTCCACCAGCTCCAGGTATGGACACTTGACTGGGTAGTGCCATTTTGAGATGTTTATTCACCTCAATCAGGTCAGCCCTTTCCCCTTCCTGCTGGGGACTGACGTGATGTGACTGTTTCCAGGTGACCTCACCTAGGTACCTTCTTAACCCCTGATAATCCGCCAACCGAAAGTTTGGGACTCTGACCATATTGTCATTGTTTTTCGTTTCCCAATTTAGGGTGAAGCTGATTTCTCTGTGATCACTGTTACCTAGTTCTTCCCCTACTGTGATATCTCTGATAATATTTTCTTTATTTGTTAATACTAGGTCTAATATATTGTCACCTCTAGTAGGTTCTGTAATTAGTTGTTTCAAAAAATTGTCTTGTACTGCATCTAGGAAGTCTTCAGATTCATAGTCACCCACAATGTTGTCCCAGTCAATATTTCTGAAGTTGAAATCCCCATAATGCATAGGTTGTTATATTTTGCTGCCCTATTCATTTCTTGCCATATGGGCTGAGCTGCTTCTTTGCCAAGACTTGGGGGGCCTGTAAATCACTCTCATAATTAGTTTTTCTCTTCCTTCCGTGATTTCTACCCACACAGACTCGGTTCCTATTTCACCCTTTATTGAATTATTAATTCAACATTTTAATGTATCCTTGACGAAGAGTGCGACCCCTCCCCCCTTCCTACCTTCCCTGTCCTTGTGAAAAAGGTTGTACCCTTCTATGTGGTACTCTGATAAAAAAATTTTGCTCGCCAGATTCATCCAAGTTTCGGTGATTGCTATGATGTCTACATTCTCGGTACATACAACCGCTCTCAGCATCTTCAGAGGCAACTGGATTACATGGACAGAAAGAGGCTTAAATATACAGGGTGACCTTATTAAACATGAGGTCAGGTCATAATGATGTCATCCACTAATCCCCACACCAACACCAACACAACCGTAGTGGAGCTTAAGAGAAGGGGGCGATGTGACTAGTCAGGTCAGGTCACAAATAAGGGACCCACTAAATAACTACATCTAGATCCAAGGTTAAAATCCAAGGTTAAAAATGCTTTGAAAATCTTATCCACGTTTTCATTGTGGATCTACACGAAAGCGCTTGGGAACTTCGTGTTTTCTTCTTTCCTTGTGGTTATCAGCATATATATATATATTGTCATGGGTTGCGTTAGGCTTACCCACGCAACCAACTCCAAAGTTTGTTTTACCAGAGATAAGACGCCCGGCGAGGCATAACTGGGACATGTATTTTTCAATTAGTGTATGTTAGCCAGCCTTTAGGGGGGTGGGCAGTGAAACAGTGTTGTACTGTTCATCGCTTCACACCCAAAAACCTCATTTTGAGTAGTATCCCCTGAGCCATGGGTTAGTTAAGACGTCGTCTCCATCCTCTCCCTCCTGAAAGGGGGCGGGACACCACACCACACAGAGTCCTCCACCGCCACTCCGTCCTGTGAACCGTCGTCGACACGAGACTAAGCGTGTTAACCTAGGTTGTTATCCCCGTGGAAATATCACGTGTAGATGCCTGGTTGCGACAAGAGCATTCCAGGCTGGCCTATCAAACCTACAGTAAATGGTTAATTAATTCACGCTTACAGAGTTCTCCTGCACGACACCCGTCTACCGTGACCGTGATCGACACGAGACTAAGTGTGTTAACCTAGGTTTGTTATCCCCGTGGAAATATCACGTGTGGAAGCCTGGTTGCGACAAAAGCAATCCAGGCTGGTCTATTGCACCTAATGGTTAATTCAAGTCACGCTTACCAGTTCTACTTGCCGCGACAACCGTCCAGTGACTGTCAGTGACGCGAGACTATGTGTGGTAACCCAAGAGTACCTTTTTGTTGTTATGGCCGTGGGAAGAAGTTCTTGTGATGAAGCCTGGTTGCAACAAAAGCAATCCAGGCTGGCAGTAAATGTATCACTTGAAGAATTAAGGCTCTGTTAAGTCATACCACAGTAGAGTAATCACATGTGTCCCCAAGTTGGAAATTCCCTGTTTTAGAAGATTAATTTTATTACAGCGTGAACGTGAGTAAATCATATATCCATGCAAACTGTAAATCATTGTATGGAAGCTTGACAAATAAATGTAAGTGCAATTATCTGCCCGTATCTGTGATCCTACCTTATTATTACTAAAGGTAATGACTGATTGGTTATGACATAGTATAACCAATAACTTAGATGGATGTTGAAAATTAAATGAATTCATTAAATCATCATTTATCAAGTATTGGCGGGCGGCAATTGTCATGGTTTTGGGGTGGTTCGGTAGTAGTAGGAGTGGATTATATTATATAGAGATAATATTATGTCGTATTTCTTATTTCTTACTGTAGAGTTCGATACCTTCACACTGGTTACTTACAGGAGATTATGGCGTATCTACGTAGAAGTTCACTCCACCACTCGACATTCCATGATTTATACTTGATAAATGATGATTTAATGAATTCATTTAATTTTCAACATCCATCTAAGTTATTGGTTATACTATGTCATAACCAGACGTCGTGTCATTACCGCACTTGATGACAACCGGCCAACCAGAGAGACGGTCGACGATAACAAAGAAGGACTTTCCTGACGCAGAGGAAAAGTCTGCTGACACAGACTCAAAGGGGCGGGTGGGGTTGTCGTCACTCATGAAGGGTTCCTGCTGCTGGCTGGGTTGTAATACTTGGCAGGGCTCACACGCACGGACAACATTGGAGATGTCGGAGTTGATGCCGGGCAAGAACACAGTCTGTCGTGCACGTCGTTTGGTGGCCTCAGCTCCACGGTGACTGTCGTGAAGGCGAGCCAAGACGTGGGGACGTGATGCAGCAGGGACAACTACACGTGCTCCGTACAGAACAAGGTCTCCGTCGCAGTAGAGTTCATCGCGGAGTTTCCAATACGGGAGCAGGGTGTTGTGAAGATTGTAGCGGTTGCTAGGGAATCCGTTCCTCACACACTCGACGAGTCGGACGTAGGAAGGGTCATCTCGGGCCGCTGTTTGAAGGTCCTCCATTGCCTTGTTGTCATCTGGTGACAGGTCCGAACGAAGGGATTGGACGGCGTGTAGAGTGACCACAGTCCTGACGGAAAGAGCGAGGTCGGCGTCGAGCACACGGTCTTCTGGAGTAGGGAGGCTGACAGGAGAGCGGGATAAGGCATCAGGGATGCAGAGCTCCTTACCGGCACGCCACACTGCTGTGAAGATGTACGCCGAAAGCTTCTCTTTCAGACGCTGGAGGCGAAGGTTCTCAACGGCGTCCAGCGTGTAGTGGTTGAGGATCGGGACAAGCGGGCGATGGTCGGTCACTAGGTGAAAGTGTTGCAGGCCTATGAGGTAAAACCTGCACTTGGACATCGCCCAAACCACAGCCAACAGCTCCAACTCAATAGTGG